GCAGGGATACCGAGCCGCACCAGCGCCACACTGAGGATTCCATGGTTCCACGTTTTTCTAAATTGGAGTTTCCCCAATATGATGGAAAAACTGAACCCTTGTCATGGCTTAAACGCTGCGAACGGTTCTTTATTCAACAAAGAATCCCTCCCCAGAACCGAGTTGGTTTAGCTACTTTTCACATGGTCGGTACTGCCCAACTATGGGCCGACCAGTTAGACTCTGTGGGTACTGGAGTCACTTGGACTGAGTTTTATACCAAGTGCTCAAAACGCTTCGGACCGCCAGGCAGTGCCAATCCAGAAGGTGACATAGCCAAGCTGCGGCAGACATCAGACTTGGAATCCTATATTGAAACGTTTCAGCAATTGTTGGCACACACAGTTGGCATATCAGTCCGAATGCAAGTCAAAATTTTCACTGCCGGGCTACGTGATTTGGTGCGTATGGAGGTGGAGTATCAGGACCCCCTTGATCTTGACTCTGCCATGATGTTGGCTCGGACCGTTGAGCGGAAGTACCAAACTCCGCTTACCACTACTGAACCTTCAGGACGGCCCCAACCATTGTCTAGTCCGATCACGTCAACAACGACACTTACTGATCCCAATTTTTCTCGTCGTAGTTCTAATCCAACTTTCAAAAAAATTTCCCGCGCCGAGGCAGCCATACGACGTGAAAAAGGGCTATGCTATAATTGTGATGACCAATGGGTACGCGGCCATCGTTGTAAAAGGCTGTTCTTTGTGGAAATTGTGGAGGATGACCAACTCGAGGAGGATCACAGGCCACATACCGAGACTGAACCCACATTGTCACTCCATGCAATGACTGGATTCGGCTCGTCCTCCACTATGCAGATTCATGCTACCCTCCAGGACCGACCCATTATTATTTTAGTAGACTCGGGTAGCACTCACAATTTTGTGCATGAGCGTTTGGCAACCAACCTTCAAATTCAACCCCTGCGTAATAACCGGTTGCATGTCATTGTGGCTAATGGTGACAGAGTCCCTATAATCGGCACATGTCCTCGCTTGGAGTTTGACGTCCAAGGTAAGACCTTCAGCGCAGGCTTTTACATATTACCACTTGCTGGTTTTGACATGATACTAGGAGTTCACTGGTTGCGTGGACTCGGCTCAATTCTGTGGGATTTTACACGCTTATCAATGCGTTTTACATGGGATGACACCTCTATTGAGTGGCGTGGGCATGATCACTCCCCTCTGCTCACAACCAGTATGGCAGTAGGCCTGGCCCAAGCACCTCCTTCTCTGGACGGCCTTCTTGTCCAGTTTGGGGACCTCTTCCAGACACCGGTAGGGTTACCGCCAAACAGGACATGTGACCACCGCATACGCTTACTGCCAGGAGCGGGACCAGTGGTCGTACGTCCTTACCGCTATCCGTACCTGCAAAAAGATGAAATCGAACGTCAATGTGCAGAGATGCTCACTCAAGGAATCATCCAGCCGAGTCGATCCCCATTCTCCTCACCTGTATTGTTGGTCCTTAAATCTGACGACTCGTGGCGGTTCTGCGTGGACTACAGGGAACTTAATTCCAAGACAGTCAAGGATAAGTTTCCTATACCGGTGATCGATGAACTTCTGGATGAGCTTCATGGCGCGTCATACTTTACCAAGTTGGATCTTCGTTCGGGGTACCACCAGATACGTATGGCACCCGAGGACGTCGAAAAAACCGCTTTTCGAACACACCATGGACATTTCGAGTTTCTTGTTATGCCATTTGGCCTCTCTAATGCACCATCCACTTTTCAGAGTTTAATGAATGACATTCTTGGTCCTTATTTAAGGAAGTTTGTCCTTGTATTTTTTGATGATATTCTCATTTATAGTAAATCTTGGTCTGCCCATGTCGCTCATGCACGCCTTGTATTGGACGTCTTGCGTACCCATAATTTGTTCCTTAAAAAGTCCAAATGCAGTTTCGGAGCGACTTCGGTTAACTACTTGGGGCATGTTATCCATGCTGGTGGAGTGGAAGTTGATCGCACAAAGATCCAAGCCATCATGGATTGGCCTACACCGCAATCTGTCACGGCCTTACGCAGCTTCTTGGGTCTGGCTGGGTACTACAGGAAGTTTATTGCGCGATATGGTGAAATTGCAGCTCCCCTTTCCACACTCCTCAAGAAGAATGGGTTTGACTGGTCAGCAGCAGCAAACTCCTCCTTCTGCCAATTAAAGACTTGTTTATCCACTGCCCCAGTCCTTCAACTTCCAGATTTTTCTAAAGAGTTTATCGTCGAGTGTGATGCATCGGGAAGTGGGTTTGGTGCAGTGTTGCAGCAAGATGGCCACCCGATTGCCTATTTTAGCCGGAAAATAGCAGACAGGCATATAAAATTGGCGGCCTATGAGCGAGAATTGATTGGTCTCGCTAAGGCAGTCACGCACTGGAGGCCGTACCTATGGGGTCAACATTTTTTGATACGTACAGATCATTCCAGCCTGAAATACTTACTGGACCAACGACTCACCACATCTCCACAGCAACATTGGCTGAGTAAGTTGATGGGTTTTACGTTTCGTGTTGAATATAAACCCGGACGTTTCAACACAGTGGCAGACGCACTCTCCCGACAGAATGAAACTCCACCCATGCTCAACTCACTCACTGTGCCGCTATCGACACTACTAGATGAGGTTCGGACTGCCCAGGCAGCATCCCCGGAGATTGAGGCCATTCGACAACAAGTGTTGGCCAGTTCCACTACAGAGGACTGGAAATTTCGAGATGGGTTGCTTTACTATAAACATAAATTGTATTTGCTGGCCTCATGCCCTATTATTTCCACATTACTGTCTCTGTTCCATGGGATGGCCCACGAGGGCATTGCAAAGACATTACATCGCTTACGCAGAGAATTTTATTGGCCAAACATGAAGCTCACAGTGGCCCAATACATACGTGACTGTCAAGTTTGCCAACAGCATAAGTGGTTAAACCTACAGCCCGCAGGTTTGCTTCAACCGCTCCCCATTCCGCAACACATTTGGGCAGATATTTCTATGGATTTTATTGAGGGTCTACCAAAGGTAAAAGGGAAGTCGGTTATCCTTGTTGTGGTGGATCGATTGTCTAAGGCAGCCCATTTTATTCCATTAGGTCATCCTTATACTTCTGTGTCTGTAGCAGGAGTATTCTTTGCTGAAATCGTCCGTCTTCATGGTTTACCTGAGTCTATTGTATCGGACCGTGATAAGGTTTTCATCAGCGCATTTTGGCGTGAATTATTTCGCTTGGCCGGGACAAAATTAGCCTTCTCCTCGGCCTATCACCCACAAACTGACGGCCAAACAGAGATCGTTAACCGCACTGTGGGCATGTACTTGCGCTGCTTAACGAGTGATTACCCTCGGGAATGGGTTCGTTGGCTTCCATGGGCAGAATACTGTTACAATACTTCTTATCATACAGCATTGGGTGATACCCCATTTCGTATTGTGTATGGACGTGACCCACCCAAACTAGTTGCACATACTCCGGGAACAGCCCAATTAGAAGGGGTCGAAAGGGAGCTCATTGATCGTGATATCTTGTTAGCTACAGCAAGGAATCGGTTAACACAAGCCCAACAACGAATGAAGCAACAGTTTGACAAAGGTCATCGTGATCTAGCATTCGAAATAGGGGACTGGGTATGGCTTCGGGTGCATCCTTATCGGCAGGTGTCATTACTCAAGCGCCATCATAAGCTCTTACCTCGCTTTTATGGGCCATTTCAGGTGCAGGCGAGAATTGGGGCAACTGCCTACCAGCTTCTATTACCGGCAGATTGTCGTATTCACAATGTTTTTCATGTGTCCCTGCTCAAACCCCATCACGGCCCGGTTCCACAAAATATAAGAGATTTGCCACCACTGGATGACCCTCGTTCCGCACTTCAGCCAGCAGCAGTTCTCCGCAGTAGGAAGCATGACGGCCGGGTAGAACTTCTGGTCCACTGGCAGGGGCAGCTTAAGGAAGAAGCTTCGTGGGAGTCACTGGATACATTCCAATCCACATTTCCTGACTTCAAGCTTGAGGACAAGCTTTTCATTAATGGGGGGAGTGATGTTATGGATCCATTCTATGGACAAGTATATCAACGAAGGCCTGGGCGAAAAGATTTAGGAAACTTAGTTGGGCCAACCGAGAAGGATCAGGGTGATTTACGTGGCTGACTGGAAGGCTAAGGGAAAGCTGGCAGCATTTAATTAATAAGATCCTAGTTATTTCCCATTCATAGTTATTTCCTAATTTAATTAGGAAAGCTGGCAGCATTCAATTAACTAGATCCTAGTTATTTCCAATTCATAGTTATTTCTTTATTCAATTAGGAAACTTCCTATTATCCTTATGCTTCCTATTAGGACTCTTGTAATCTCTATTTAAGGAGCCTAATATTGTTTAATAAAGGAGCTTTGGAGAATTAATTTGTTGTGTCTTGACTAGGTCGGGCACAGGTTAATTCCTAAAGACTTTTCATATTTATTCTCTGCTTTATTCAATAATCTTAGTATAACAACATTGATACTAAGGTCTCAGTAGGCTCTTCTTCTGTCCTGAGATCTCGTTTGAGACCTTGGACAAGGTCTTATACGCGAGTTCTTAACACAACGCACACATATAAAGGATAAAACACACCCCACGTAACCAACTCACGCAACCACTTCCTAAAAACACTCCTATGTGCGTGCATGTAAGGCTTGACCTTATCTACTGACATGCACACGTACAAAGTACCACACACACACTTAAAATAATGTTACAAGTAACAATTAAACAAATGTTAAATAACATGAACAAGTTTAAAACACTTAACAATCCCTTCAGCATGATCCTCTACAGAATACCTGGACAACCAAACAAGGGAGGGGGGGGGGGTCTCTGCTTGAAAATATGCCAGTGAAGGGATCTTTATAATGTGTTTAAGAGAGATAATATGGTATCGGTTTATGATTAATTGACTACATTTGTTTGAACAGGGTTGATATTGGGACAAGTGAACCGCTACTTTTGGATGTACTCATCAATGCATTGACACAAATAAGTTCTGAGTAAGCTTACCTTCACATCTCTCTTTCTCTTTTCCTTGTGAGGCAAGTCTTTGACAATGATTAATTTCACGCACATTTGTACTAGCAATTGTTGGAAAATGTGTTAGTAAATTGCATTAAATGGTCATTTTGGGGCAATTTTTTGAGTGGGGTCCACTTCCGATTTGGGTCGGGTCAAAGTGGTTTCGGATTGTCCTTGCTTAGGGCTACAATTCGATATATGGTACGCTCAAAACGGATAACGGGTGAATGAGAAATTGATTCTCGAAGTTCACTCGTTGGAATGGAGAAAATTAGGAAAAGATGGGTTTCTAGTTTGGTTTTTCCCATACCGGAAAACCCAAGGGCATTTGAACCCTTTATAAAGGGAAACCCCCCTTAAGGAGTTAAGATTCCTTAGGGTAAAGGCTCTATCCACGCGCGCGGGGGGGGGGGGGGTGCGAATCAAATCCCGAAACCGGAGAACAAAAAGCCCGACTTATGTGCGCGGGCGACCTGCGGACACAAATGTCGTTCGAAAAATCTATCTTCTATAGAAAAACGTTAATTTTTGTTCTTCCGACGAGTTCCTATTTTTGCTCCAGGTTGGAGCAGGCCACTTCTATGTCCGCAGTAAGCTCGGCAGTTCCTTCCGCAGGAGGCCACTGCTCCAGCAGTTCCCTGCGCAGCAGACTATTGCTCCATGGGTGTTGAACGGCCGGAAGCAGCCTGCTACTGAGGCGTTACAACACCATAAATGCCCAACGTTCCTTTGCAATAAATGGATGGTTTTCTGGACGAATCAATGCCAACGAGCTGGACATTGATTACCAACGTTCATATCCATTAAACCTCCATTAACACACCTCCAAATCCTTCCTATAAGTAGCTGGCAGGTGATTTACAACAAGACACAACTCACAAACGAACTCACGCACCTTTGAGCTCTCGAAACCCCTGCTAGCATTCTGAAAATTCCTTGTGTTCAGCCTTTGTTCACGTTCGTTGGAACTTTAGTTTGAGTGCTAAACTGTTGTTCGTAGTCATCGTATCCTGAGAAACGATCGTTGCAACGCTTCTAGCACCCCGGGAGGCAACAAATACGTTTTAAGGAAATCGTGCGTAGCACGAGCTTTGGCTTATTCTGCTTCCTCTCATTTCTTGTTTTTCCTTTAAGTCATTTTATTTAATTAATTTTTATTAATTAATTTTCTTTGTTTTTTGAAACACACCCAACAGCAATATCATCCCTGATCTAAAGTTCTAAACAATAGTATTTCAATCTGTTTATGGATGATATCCTTTCCTTTTTATATGGCAGCAGGTAATCATACTCTGTCTGTGTTTTCTTAAACAGCTGTATAGGAATTAAGCAGGTAGTGTTTGGTGGATCTGAATTTGAAGACTGGAAGGACAGCTTGAAGGAGGACGTGGGCTACTACAATATCCACAAGATTTAGGAGAAATAAAATTTGCAGATTTCTATTTTCTGGATTGCTGCTCCTAACACCCGTCATTGAATCAGTGTTGTTCAGAGAGAAGAACCCCACTCGGACCATGCAAATCTCTTCAAGAACTCAATTTTGCTTGCTTGATCCACACTCACTGTGTGTGATGGATGGATCTACTGTGAAAAACTATCGCCAGATCAGCTGTAATGTAATGCACTGAATAATAAAACCGCATCTTTGTATCAGCCTACAAAGTTTCACAAAGAATTAAACAATAAGTCGTGTAAGCATTTGATTTTTTGTCCTTTAAAATTTCAAAATAAGTTGTTATTAGGCTACATCTCTTTGTTTTAGTGGACAGGTCTAAATGATAATTAATCAATCCGGATGGTGTTTAAACCTTTATGGGATTGAGGGATGTTTGGTTCTGATTCTTAAAATTGATTATGCTCCTTCAGGGAGCAGAAGTTGGAGTGTTTGGGTGAAAGTGCAAAAGTACTTCTGGTGCTCTTATTACTCCTCTTAGAAGTAGTTTTTTTAGAAGTTAGGAGAGACCAGCTTCTAAACATTGATTCTGATTCTGCTTCTGCTTTAAGAAAGTAGAAGCAGAATCAGTTCGAAACACCCCTGACTTGATCCTTGATAAGTTTTGCGAGCCTTAGCATCACATTGTTTAGTTTTTTGTTTTCAAAGTTGTTTCCCGACTTACACATATTCCGAGTATAGCATTGTGAAGTCAGAGGAATAAAAGGTAGGTGCACCTTATCATGCCACTAGTCCTGGACTCGGGCCGGGTGGCCCGACCCGAAACCGGCCCGAGACTGGTACTGTGCTGAACCGGCCCAGCCAGTGATCGGTCTGGGTAGGCCCGGCCCGGGGGGTTCCCGGTGCGGGTTCGAGTCACCCAAAAGCCGAACCGGCCCGGTTCCGGGCTTTTCAATTTTTTTTAACTTTTCGGGGCGGGCTGGGTATTTTGGGTCATTTGGGGTGGTTTGGGGGGTTGGGGGTGGGGGGGGGGGGGTTAATTAGGAAAAGGGAAAAAAAATTGACCCGAGGCCCGGCCCGGACCCGGTGGCTACCTGGGCCGGTTCTGGGCCCACCTATACAGAACCGGCGGCCCGCCCAGGCCTAGGCCCGGCCCGGACCCGACTCGGCCCAAATCCAGCCCTACATGCCACATATTTCAATTTGTTTAAAGAACATGATTTTAGGAATCAAATTTTATTTTACTGAATACACACCACTAATTAATTGAAAGAATGTTTGTATATCCAAACGTGTATCTTTATGAATACATTTGTTTGGAACAACTATTAAATTCTTGAATAATCAGTTGTTTTTTATTGAATTCAAATCTTTATATCACCAGTTAATTGAATGAAAACATTTTATGATGTTGTCACGTGTTTTTATATGTATCCAATTCTTGGACAAATTGTGTCTTTTAAACAATTTTTCTTAGTAAATATTATTTAAATATTTTGTTTCTTAGGATTAAAATAGAAAACCTTCAAAAAGAGGCACAAAGTTGCTAAGCAATTCTGATGGTTGCACGTAGGCATGGATCCGGGTTGGCCCGGTTCTGGCCGAGACCGCCCGGTCCTTTCCATTTTTGGATGAAGCCCGAGTCTGACCTAGTTATTTTCGAGTCTGGTTTCGATTACCCGATCGGCCCGGTCTCTATTCTGAACCCAATTGGAACTGAAATATTGGGATCGGAACCACCCGGTTCGGTCCCCAAATCCGTGAACTGCATTGGGGTACCCCTCTTGGACGGGTAGGGCCGGTCTTAGGCCCAAAACCGAAAAAACAGACCTAGTTCGGGCCCAAACAATGTTAACCCGATTCCGGACCGAGTCCATGCCTAGGTACAGGCCATGTTCAATCTGCAAATATATTGTTGCAAAGATAAACAATCAGATACAATAAGTATTCTATTAATAATCATCTTGGGAGTATAGTTCTAACCATGTTCGTTAAACTATATATTTTTAGAAATTAAGGGTAGTCATCAAACTTTTCAAATATTTTTTAGGTGCTCACATTTATATTATAGTATAGGGAAAAGGGCCAAAAATGACACCAAGGTTTTTAATGAATCTCGTATATGACACTGAGGTTTATGGTGGACAAAAAAACACAAAATAAAACCTTTCCCTTAACTATTAACCACCCTCTAACTGGCCCGTTAAATGACCGTTTCCCCAATCCCCCCTAACTAACACTTCACATAAAAAGACCCCCAAAATTATATCCAAGAACCCTACTTCAATATCCCCAACCTATTATGCAGACATATGCGCAGAGGAAACAATAGCAATGGGAGATAGGTCTTCACCATCAAGGTCTTTAGGGATACAGAAATCATCCTCCATTGATTCAGTCGAATGTGGAACGAACATTGAGACGCAATATGGTGGTGGGGCGAGGTATTTTATTATAAATTTTTTAAAATGGTGTCATTTATCCCATTTTGATGTTTTTCATATTAATATCTGCAGAAGGATAATTGTGGGTTCTTTGAATGGCATGATGAACCTCTAATAGATAGGGCCAAACATGTTATCAATGATCTAAAAATGGAGAATAGAAGGCTTCACAGTACAATAATGGGACTAGAGGAGGCCATACATGCAGGGGAGGCCATAACTGGAGGTGGGGAGTTTAATGAAACACCAATTCGAGAATATGAGCATACCTTTAAACAAAACATGGAATTTGAGGTTCAAGAGCTTAACCGTACAGAGATTGCAGAACATTTGGAGTTACATAGAGGAGCAAATTTGAAGAGGAATTATGTGATTGTACTGATGTTGTGTGCCCTTGTTGTACTCATATGTATGATTTTAGGTTAATCATGTAAAAAAGTATTCTATTGTAATCTTGAACACCATTGATGGGCAATGGAGTAGCTTCTTTAGTATGTATGCACTTGGTTTAACATTAGTATGAAATGACTTTGTATTTGGAATTCATTTGTCTTAATTGTTGTTGTGTGTTTCCTATCTTATACTTTGATTATACAAGTGTTGAGTGCCAAGGAATGCCTAACAAAAATGTATGAAACTTACAATTTCAGTTTAGGTATTGTTGAGGTGTTGTTTAGGTGAAAAAAACCTGTTCTGCCGAAAGAAATGGAGGTCTATATTGCTCAATACATGAGGTCTTTTTGAGGTCTTATACCAGACCTATTCTGCCAAAAATAAACTAGGTCTTCTTTATTGTGTTATAGAAGACCTGGAACACCAAATACCAATAAATACCAGACCTCAAATTCCAAACACCAAATACCAGACCTCAAATACCAAATAAACCAGGTCTTCTTTATTGTGTGGCGTGGCCTGGATGTTCAGGTAGATAGGTGTCGTGAGCACCTACGCAGTATATTCCACACGGGGGTGGACGATAGGTTCTACATTACGTTCGATTAGCTGGGTTTTATGGTGTTCACAGATTAGTTTCGACTCTGCATATAGATAGAGCATTACTTACCGCTCTACTTGAGCGTTGGAGGCAGGAGACTTACACGTTCCATTTACCGGTGGGTGAGGTCACGATCACATTAGGAGATGTGGTTGTATTGGCAGGTCTACCGATCAAGGGTCATGCAGTTACTGGGACTGCATGTAGACTGTGGGTTGATTTGGTACACAGATTGTTGGGAGTACGGCCACACCCTGGGACAGATATTCGGGGGTCTACCTTGAGGATGGCTTGGTTGAGAGAGCATTTTGTTGGTTTACCTGCTGATGCTGATGACGATGTTGTGCAGCAGTACGCGAGAGCCTACATTCTGATGCTTATGGGAGCTTCCACATTTGCGGACAAGAGCGGGAATGAGGTGCATGTCTTGTATTTACCCATTCTAGAGTCTTTTGATGTAGCTGCAGTTTATAGGTGGGGTAGTGCGACTTTAGCATACCTATATCGGCAGTTATGTCGAGGTTGCTATAGTGACGGTGGAGAGATGGGCGGGTTTTTATTGCTCATACAGCTATGGTCATGGGAGCACATTCATATCGGCAGACCTGTCATACTGTGATATCATGGGGTAGATGGTGGTCCTCTTGATGATGATATGGATCTGCACGCTGTACTTGGGCCACATCATGTTCGTGGCGAGGATCCTTTGGGTCGTAGGTATGTTTATGATTTTTTTGTATGATGTACGTGAATCCCTTTTATATTCTTATACATTACTGTGTGTCAGATGGCTATTTGCTCATGTCACGCGCACGTCATCCGCTGTTGGATTAGGATACTACCGAGATGCTTTAGATCGCTTGTGTGATGATCAGGTATATCATTTATATCATTAAATGTAAGTACTTTGTTTTATATTTTTATAAACCATGGTCTAACATAATTTTATATTATAGATGATGTGGATGTCGTACACTGATGAGATTCTAGGGCTGTTGCCTCCTGTTGCCCGAGAGCACACTGAGATATGGCGAGCACGTGTGCCCTTGATATGTTTTGATGTAGTGGAGCATCACTTTCCTGATCGCGTACTACGCCAGTTCGGGTTGCAGCAGGTTACTCCCGGACCTTGTGATACATATGTGGATTTGCACAAGATTGATAGACGGGGGAAGCACACTGAAGATTGGGGGATGCGCCATATTCAGTATATCACTATGTGGGATGAGAGAGCGGCGTATATAGTGGACGGGATCCCATCATTAGTCCCCACAGCTTCTGTAGACTACATGAGATGGTATTACACCATCACACAGGTGTTTATCTCTCCCAGTTTTCGTTTACCCACTAATCATTACCAGCCTAGCTCAGTCGCTCTTCATATGACGGTAAACAATATAGTCAATGAAATATCTTTATTTATTTATTCATGTGTTTTTCACCAATAACCATGTTTGCATTACAGACACGGGCTTTGCGTAGCATCCATGACAGAGCGACTGCTATACTTGATGAGGCGGTAGATGTACAGGGATACCATGACGCTTGTTCAGGCATTGTTTCACTGTGCGCTGATGTATTGGGTCGAGTGGATTATGGATATATGGCCACCTCTCAGCATTCCACCGCATCTACATCCGCAACAGGGTCTTCTCAGGCAGTCCGACGTGATAGAGTTGTTCTTCAGCCTCGTAACCAGCGCAGGCGTCCCCGAGCACAGCCACATGAACTTCATGATGATGATGATCACGTTGACTTATGATCTTTGTATTTAAATTATTGTGTGAAAGTTGTAGCATGCACTAGCAGATCGAATCATTTTGTGAGACACCAGATTTATTATACCTTTTATGGTTTATACTCAATTTTGTGGTGCAATGATTCATTTTGTGAAAGTTTCATAATATGTAGTTTCATTGATTCGTTTTGTGTTTTGGATGTATGTTGTCATGTAGTTTCATTGATTCGTTTTGTGTTTCGGGTGTATTTTGTCTTAGTAAATCATATGTTTGGTTGTTTTTTTGAGTGGAATGGACTGTGAGTCTGTGA